AAAAAATATTGTCCAGAACACAGCAAACAGTTAGGAGAACACAAGTCAAAAAAAAAATGTCATGATGAAAAAATTCAAAAAACGGAACAATTAAACGAGTTAAAGAAAGAAAAGGAAAAGTTGGAAAATGATTTGTCTAAAGTTAAAAATAAAAGCGATTCAGAAAAAATTATAAAGAAGTTAGAAGAACAAATGAAGAAACTGAGGAGAGAAATGTTGTTTCATTTCCGGTCTTGTTGCGAAGAAATGGAAAAAATTCAAAAAAAAAAAAGAACCTGCTCGGGTTGTCGGAAAGTGGAGAACGAAAAAAAGCTCAAAAATCCTCTTCGTCACGTTTGCTTAGTAAATAAGGCAATTGATAAACCCCAACTTATTCTTTTAACAAGAAACCTGGTTTGCAGGTATGATAACAAAGATAATTTTGCTTCTTTTTTTGATGATAAAAGAAAAAAAATAAAGAAGAAAATGCTAAGAGGCAAAGGTAAAGAGATTTCTGATATTAAGTTTTATTCAAGCTGGAAAATAGTTGGAGTGAGCAAGGCATTAGAAAATACCCAGAAAGAAGAATAATTTTAAGAGCCTATTTTTTTTCAAACTTGTTAAATAGTTCTGATATTTACGTCCATTTTTATTTGCTTACGAGAAAAAAGAAGCAAAATTTTTGCAGATTATAATCTTTTTTTGCCAATAAAAAGTTGAAAATATAATGAAAATCTACTGCTTCGAGACAAAAGGGTTATTTTTAATGTAAAATCTTCACAAACGGTTTTTATCTTCGCCTGCGTAATCAATATTAACCCGTTTAGTAACCATAATTTCCTCAGCCTTAATTTCTGGAGCATCTTCTAAATAAATTAAATCGCTTGTGGTTAAATCTGTATTGTTAAGACTAATGTCAATGTCTAAAACCCGACATAATTTTCCTGGCCCGTTAGTAGTGTAGCGGTATTTTTTTCTTTTGTCATGACGAGAAACAACTGGAACAGTATGGTGGTTGAGCGGTTCGGCGGCACGAATTAATACTCCTTGGGGGTCACCTTTAACCGAGGAGGCAATATTGAAACAGTGATACATGCTATAAATGAGATAAACATAGGCACATCCACCACGATTACTTAAGGCTGCTGATTTCCATCTTGACCTATTTTCCACGTGTGCATGACAGGCTCGGTCAATCTTCCCAATATAGGCTTCAGTTTCCACAATTTTAACTTTAATAATGCGGTCGTTAATTTTTCGCACCAAAATTTTACCTAGCAATTTTTGGGCTAATTCGACCGCACTGACCATAAAAAAATTGGGGTCGGTGATGCGGGAATAGGTTTTGCTTCTATCCATGTGTGCTTTAATTTTTTTTTTGCATCAGTATCAGCATCTATCCAGGAATTATAGTTTTTTAACACTACAATGTGAACTTTGTTTTTCAGTTAATTTTAAGGACGGGGACGGTAGATATTACTACTTTTAATATTTTGTATTGATGTTTGTTTCGGGCTATTAGTTTTTTTCTGTGTTTTTTAATTTGCTTCTCTAAAATATTGGATATTTTTCTCGCAATTAACTAAGTAGTTAAGTTTTGATTTTTGGGTGTCAAATTGTGCTACTTTTGCTTCCTAATTCCCGGTTGCGGTTTTTGATTTCCCGAGACGACCTTTTTTGGACTTTC